ACAAGCATGGGTTACTGAAGTTACCAATTCTAACCCGTATTTTCACGTCGGACTAACTAGCAAATTCCTCAAGGGAGTTTAAAAGATCATCCCACAGTGATGGATTGGATCAATGTATAAGATCTGGTTTTAATGAGAATGGATTCAAACATACTTGATGTGAACTCCACCAGTCGTTTGATGAGCCACGTCCACTTGGCGGGACCAGGGGGCAGGACTTCCACTGTCTGGGTGATGTCCTCGTTAGCCTGCAAGACACAAGTCACATGCAGTCTTTAACTAAGTTCGACACATAGGTTGGAATGTACTGCGTAAATGACTAAGGTTTTACATCGCTTTCAGCCAATGTCTGCAATCTCATGGCAGGAGACACCAAAAGTGGGCTTAAGATCTTATTTTGTCTCTATTACCTGAGGGTGTCTGGGTGTTACACCCTTCTCCCTAGGCAATCTGTCTATCCACTCTTGTTCCGGGGATGATGTAGCTAAGATGGATACTCAAAGGTAAGTCAAGTATGGTGTTGAAGTCCTTTTTATTCTTGGTAAGAATTCTCACACAAAGGTCCTCAGATATTGCCTAGTTTTCCTGGTCTACACACACATAGATTCACAAACTTCATTGAAGAATTTGTTGATTCCTTGTACAACTCCTAATACTACAAGTTCATCTGAGCCATTCTCTCAATATACAGAGAGAACCTCTCTAGTCAACAGTGGGGCCCAGAAACCATCTCATTTGTATTGACTACAGCAACAACAGATCTATAATATTATAACTTAAACTGTTTTCAAGCATAATGCATGTTATTTTTTCTCATCTCACTCTCTCACAAAGTACCCACCTCTCCTACTTCGCCCTGCACAACACGAATTGGGTCGATGAGGATGTCCCGAGCCAGTTTCTCTACTCTCCGTCTGAAGGTGGCGCTGAACAGCAATGCTGAAACGCAACCACAAAGTCAACACTTGGTCAAAAACAATAGAAAGAAAATGTGGAAATATATTTTATTGAACAATGATTTCTCACTCATAAATAACTCCCACATCTTTGTCATCTTAGAGAATTAGACACATCAAGATTAGGAGCTGTAGGGTCAGAAACACAAACATTAGGATCTCGAGAATAAAAGACTGCATGTTTAGGTAATCTAGATAGAGGAGGAGGAGAGGTGGAGGAGTGAGTGAGTGAGTGAGTGAGTGAGTGAGTGAGTGAGTGAGTGAGTGAGTGGAGGGAGAGTGAGTGAGTGAGTGAGTGAGTGAGTGAGTGAGTGAGTGAGTGAGTGAGTGAGTGAGTGAGTGAGTGAGTGGGGAGTGGTGAGTGAGTATGGCAATATCACGCATAGGGGACACCAGAAAATGGGCTTCACACATTGAGGTGAGTCTAGAATCAGAGCTAGAGGACTATCCATTGGAAAATTCAACCAAGTACTAACCTGTAGAGGTTTCAGATTCTTTGAATATATTCCTCCTTGGGGTACTTATAAGCATTTAAATGTCCATTTAAATTCCCTACGACAGTTGTAACAATATTTGAATAAAAATATTTACAAAACAAAAACTACGTTTTGTCTTGTGAGACCACCCTTACAGGGCCCTCCGGCCCCCTACAGCCAAGAGCAGGTAACTCTAGACCGTAACCTCGTACCTCACTTTCCATGCTGAACGACGTCAGACAGAATGTGGGGAGGTGGGCGGGCGTACTCCAAGGAGGAATATATTCAAAGAATCTGAAACCTCTACAGGTTAGTTCGATTCTTTTTTATATATTCCTCCTTGGGGTACTTATAAGCATAAGACAGACTCCTAAAGACGGAGCTAAGGAGCGGCATTCTGTCTGCAGAAAACACCCCCAACAAGTAGTGGAATTTCCCAAGCTAAATACAGCAGAAAAAGCACACTTACCCGGTCACGTGTCCACCATAGCCAATCAGGCGGGGGCATGAGCCAGGGTCAGGGTCGAACATATGTAAATTGCCCAGCGAAACCTCGCTAATGCAAACTAACGAGACACACCCTCCCTCCTTCCCGTAATCTACTCGGAAGCGAAGATAAGGGTCCCGCAATAAGCCACCAGAAACGAAATGCCTTAATATATATATATTTAGCAAAGTTTCCAAGGCCAGTTAAGTCTACAGCAGAATGCAAAAGACATGGGAATAAAAACCATCACCACATAAAACCCGTCACCAAGGGAATATGTAAACAAGATTTTTAAAACCCAACACCAGTGTTAAAAATTTGGCATAGAATGGTTCACATAATAAAATCCTCGAAAGCTCAATCGGCTAGAGAGGTGGAACCATGCCCACTGGAGAGAACTGACTGACCGAACCGAGCACGCTCACTGGAGAGTCTGTCAAGTTGGTAATGACGGATGAACGTACTCGGACGGCTCCAAATAGCCGCGGAGCAGATCTCCTCAATGGGCAGGGCTGCAGCGTAAGCTTTCGATGTAGCAACTGCCCTAACCGAATGAGCTTTCAACCCTACAGGCGGGATACGCCCTGTTTGAGTATAGCTCATATGTATGGCAGAGACAAGCCACCGAGAAATGGTTGGCTTGGTCGCCGGAAGACCAGCCTGAACCCCACCATAACAACAAAACAATTGGTTACCCTTACGGGTACCCCTTGTTCGTTTGATATAAGCCTTAAGTGTCTTACGGACATCTAAGACGTGAGCATGTCGTAGAGAGGTACCAGACAGGGAAGGCTGAGTGAAAGCTGGGAGCTCAATAGGCGCCGTCACATGGAAGGAACTATCCTTCTTAGGACGGTAAGTATCAGGCAGCCGTATGCTAACTCTGTCTTTGTGAAAAACAGTAAGCGCGGGATCGGCCGACATTGCGTGAATATCCGGCACACGCCGGACACCCCTCTTCCTCATGATCAGTTTGGATGAGGCAACGTAAACACACCTCGTGCGTGTCCCTGACGGGAATGGCAGCGAGGCACGAAGTACAGGATTTAAACTGCAACAAGTAAAAAACCTGTGCAGCAATCAACCCCATACACACATACATATATGAAAAAACACGCATGGGCGACACAACTAATGCGACAACGTAGCATACAGTTGACAATAATCATAATACGCACTGCAACATAACTAACAATTATGACTTTTAGCGTAAGATAGAAAACGCTAGCAGCGGAAACGCCCTACATGTAACAACATATAAATAAAAGTACTATAACCACCTGTAACATTGAAAAACCACACGGGAAACCAATGAACAGGGAGGCTAGCGAAGGGACCTGTCCGCCATCTTGACACGCACCTGGCGAGCCGTCCGCGACAGTTACCAAGTTACAACTAGAAATTATGAATGAAAAAGTTCAGAACAAGCCTCCAAATCGCCCATGCAGGGAAAAAAGAGAACCATACATACAGTTGCTGTTTCTGACACACTCATAATTTTGCGCAGGGAAAAGAAACCTTCTTGAATGGACCCACGTCTTGCCGGTAAACGACAGCATGGAAAGTGAGGTACGAGGTTACGGTCTAGAGTTACCTGCTCTTGGCTGTAGGGGGCCGGAGGGCCCTGTAAGGGTGGTCTCACAAGACAAAACGTAGTTTTTGTTTTGTAAATATTTTTATTCAAATATTGTTACAACTGTCGTAGGGAATTTAAATGGACATTTAAATGCTTATAAGTACCCCAAGGAGGAATATATAAAAAAGAATGTTACTTTACTACAATTAGGGATTTGTACAAACAAACACTTGCTCTGTGTTAATTTAAACAAACCTACAACCTGAAATACCTACAACAAGCACCTGCTCATGGCAGTCTAATCAACAAACAAGCCCCTGGTCTTCCTCTGGTAATTTTACCCATTCTACAACCAGATACATCTACAAACAAGCACCTGCTCTTCCTCTGTTGATATTACCCATTCTACATCCAGATACATCTACAAACAAGCACCTGCTCTTCCTCTGTTGATTTTACCCATTCTACATCCAGATACATCTACAAACAAGCAACCTGCTCTTCCTCTGTTGATATTACCCATTCTACATCCAGATACATCTACAAACAAGCACCTGCTCTTCCTCTGTTGATATTACCCATTCTACATTCAGATACATCTACAAACAAGCAACCTGCTCTTCCTCTGTTGATATTACCCATTCTACATCCAGATACATCTACAAACAAGCACCTGCTCTTCCTCTGTTGATATTACCCATTCTACATCCAGATACATCTACAAACAAGCACCTGCTCTTCCTCTGTTGATTTTACCCATTCTACATCCAGATACATCTACAAACAAGCACCTGCTCTTCCTCTGTTGATTTTACCCATTCTACAACCAGATACATCTACAAACAAGCACCTGCTCTTCCTCTGTTGATTTTACCCATTCTACCACCAGATACATCTACAAACAAGCACCTGCTCTTCCTCTGTTGATTTTACCCATTCTACATCCAGATACATCTACAAACAAGCACCTGCTCTTCCTCTGTTGATTTTACCCATTCTACCACCAGATACATCTACAAACCAGCACCTGCTCTTCCTCTGTTGATTTGCCAAATTCTACCACCAGATACATCTACAAACAAGCAACCTGCTCTTTCTCTGTTGATTTTCCAAATTCTACCACCAGATACATCTACAAACAAGCAACCTGCTCTTTCTCTGTTGATTTGCCAAATTTTACCACCAGATACATCTACAAACAAAACACCCGCTCTTCCTCTGTTGATTTTCCAAATTCTACCACCAGATACATCTACAAACAAAACACCCGCTCTTCCTCTGTTGATTTTCAAAATTCTACCACCAGATACATCTACAAACAAGCAACCTGCTCTTTCTCTGTTGATTTTCAAATTCTACCACCAGATACATCTACAAACAAGCAACCTGCTCTTTCTCTGTTGATTTTCCAAATTCTACCACCAGATACATCTACAAACAAGCAACCTGCTCTTCCCATGGCAATCTAAGCTACTCTTCAACCACAGATATCAACAAATAAGCACCTGCTCTTCCAGTCCTGCCTATTCTGTGTGTGTGTGTGTCGATGTCCCTGGCTACGTCGTAGTTGACCACTGTGCGGATGTGGGGGATGTCGAGACCACGTGCAGCAACATCTGTAGCCACCAGTATTGGCATCTCTTTCTTTTTGAAGGCAGAGATGACATTATTCCTCTCATTCTGGTCCATGTCTCCGTGAAGCAGACCAACTGAAATATAACACATTCAGGCCACTGATTACTACATTATAACACCCCTCCTTTCACACACCCAGCCTCTTATCTTTCTATGGGCTTCTACAAATGATCAACCTTGCAGATGTGTGCTGTTTGTGTTCTTGCTGCCTAATTAAAAGAGACAAAATCATTATCCATATTCAGAAGAATAAAAGCTTAAAAGAAGATTGACTGACTGAGTTTGGTTTTACGCCGCTTTTAGCAAATTCCAGCAACATCACGGTGGGGGACACCAGAAATGGGCTTCACACATTGTACCCATGTGGGGATTCGAACCCGGTCTTCAGCGCATGCGAGGACGCTTTAACCACTAGGCTACCCCACCGCCCCTCTAAAAAGAAGAGAAAGTTGTATGACTGGAAAATATCATGAGCATGTGTTTAGGAAGTACTATCAAATAGTGATGATAAATGTGTGCATATCCTGGTGGAACCATCATAAACACATGCAATGCAAGTCAATTATTCATCTGAAAAAAACAATAGGGAACTGCATCAGATGTTTTTGTCACATCATACAAACAGTACTACAAAAGATTCCTTCATCATGTGCATCACATCCATCGTCACAAATTGCTTAACGTTACTTGTGTTAAGAGTTAGTGGTTAAAGGATCTAAAAATGGAGAACAAGAGAAATTCATGTAGAGCATATATGCTTTACTTAAGAAATGAAATATATGAAATTTCTCTATGAAAATCTTTAAAAAATCTGTTAAAATGATAGGTGTCCATTCAGGAGTGAAAACTTGCCTGATAAGTTTGATGGAGAAATAGGCAAAAGCTTATGAACGGATTGTTTCTAGTCAAGTGTGGGAACGATTTCAGTTCTACATCACATTTGTTGATAACCTGAGACCTAAAGTAACTTTTGTTCAAACTCACCAGTAAAGTCTCTGGCCTTCAGATTGGTAGCGAGTTCTTCACTGTTCAGCTTCCTTGTCACAAAGATCAACACAGAGCCCGCTGAATAAATATATCAAGTTTGTTATCACAAACATAATTTCCATTAGATGTTTAAGTAATATATACACAACACACAATTGATACACAATGGAGTGTCGTCACCTTGACAGCTATGGAAACTTGCTGCTGTAATTGACCTGCCCTGACATATTTGGGATCAAGTTAAGATTCTCTGCAGTGTCACTGATGACTGTCAGTGACGTATCTTGGATTGTCACAGTTAGAGTCAACAAAGGTTTCACTGCATATATGTTACACGGATGACCTTTGGATCTGCTTCAGGCAAATGTCATTAAAATCAAATGTTTTTGTGTCTGCATGAAGATTTGAAAACTCTCCAGTTAACAACATTATTGTTACAAGTGAACAAAGCTATTAGTGAGTATCGTTTGGAGAACCATTTACAGGCAGTTCCAAATGGAGGTGAGGTGAGGTGAAATTGGGTTTTACGTCGTGCTTGAGAATATTTCGCTCATATGACGACGTGCATGCGTATGTATGTGTATGTGCGGCTGCTTGTACTAGCCCAGACTGAAGCTGGTTTTATAGTGCTAGCCCACTGAGATACCATGCCGCAGTGAAGCATGAATACCCCACTCAGACACATTATACTGACTCCAAACCGACCAGTCCTTGTTGTACCCATTAATGCCGAGCGCCAGGCAGGAACCAACAAGTACCATATTTTAACGTCTTTTGGTATGACGCGGTCGGGGATCGAACCCGCGACCTTCCGCTCTCCGGGCGGACACTCTAACCACTACACCACGGAGGCGGTCTAGTTCCAAATGGACATAAGATAGGCTATAATAATATTGTATGAGATTTTCACACACACAATATCTACCAAACTAAAGTACATTCAAAGAAATGTTTGTACACTGCCAGATTTGACAGATATGAAGCCAAAAGTAAAAAAAAAAGTTACAGTTTACCAATTTGCCATGGTTGTCACAATTGTGGGTTTTCTTGAACTTGTATTGAGTCCGCCAGGCTCAAGGATGTTTGTTTGTTTGTTTGTTATTTAAAGCCAGTCAGTAATATTCCAGCTATACGATGGCAGTCTGCAAATACTTGAGCTTGAACCAGACAATACAGTGATGAACATAATGAGCATCAATCTACGCAATTGGGATACGATGACATGTGTCAAAAAGGTCAGAGAGCCTGACCACACGATCCTGTTAGTCGTCTCTTACGACAAGCATGGGTTACTAAAGACCAATTCTAACCCGTATTTTCACGTCGAACTAACTAGCACATTCCTAAAGGGAGTTTAAAAGATCATCCCACAGTGATGGATTGGATCAATGTATAAGATCTGGTTTTAATGAGAATGGATTCAAACATACTTGATGTGAACTCAACCAGTCGTTTGATGAGCCACGTCCACTTGGCGGGACCAGGGGGCAGGACTTCCACCGTCTGGGTGATGTCCTCGTTAGCCTGCAAGACACAAGTCACATGCAGTCTACAACTAAGTTTGACACATAGGTTGGAGGTGAGGTGAGGTGAAATTGGGTTTAACGTCGTACTTGAGACTATTTCGATCATATGACGACGTGCATGCGTGTGTATGTGTATGTGCGGCTGCTTGTACTAGCCCAGACTCAAGCTGGTTTTATAGTGCTAGCTCACTGAGATACCATGCCGCAGTGAAGCATGAATACCCCACTCAGACACATTATACTGACTCCGGGCCGACCAGTCCTTGTTGTACCCAGTATTGCCGAGCGCCAGGCAGGGACCACCACATACCATATTTTAACGTGTTTTGGTATGACGCGGTCGGAGATCGAACCCACGACCTTCCGCTCTCCAGGCGGACGCTCTACACGTAGGTTGGAATGTACTGCATAAATGACTAAGGTTTTACATCGCTTTCAGCCAATGTCTGCAATGTCATGGCAGGAGACACCAAAAGTGGGTGTTATACCCTTCTCCCTAGGCAATCTGTCTATCCACTCTGTTCTGGGGATGATGTAGCTAAGATGGATACTCAAAGGTAAGTCAAGTATGGTGTTGAAGTCCTTTTTATTCTTGGTAAGAATTCTCACACAAAGGACCTCAAATACTGCCTCGTTTTCCTGGTCTACACACACATAGATTCAAAAACTTCATGGAAGAACTTGTTAATTCCTTGTACAACTCTTAATACTACAAGTTCATCTAAGCCATTCTCTCAATATACAGAGAGAACCTCTCTAGTCAACAGTGGGGCCCAGAAACCATCTCATTTGTATTGACTACAGCCAACAACAGATCTATAATATTATAACTTAAACTGTTTTCAAGCATAATGCATGTTATTGTCTCCTCTCACTTTCTCACAAAGTACCCACCTCTCCTACTTAGCCCTGCACAACACGAATTGGGTCGATGAGGATGTCCCGAGCCAGTTTCTCTACTCTCCGTCTGAAGGTGGCGCTGAACAGCAATGCTGAAACGCAACCACAAAGTCAACACTTGGTCAAAAACAATAGAAAGAAAATGTTGAAATTTATTTTATTGAACAACGATTTCTCATTCATAAATAACTCCCATACCTTTGTCATCCTAGACAATAAGACACATCAAGATTAGGAGCTGTAGGGTCAGGAACACAAACATTAGGATCTCGAGAATAAAAGACTGCATGTTTAGGTAATCTGGAGTGAGTGAGTGAGTGAGTGAGTGAGTGAGTGAGTGAGTGAGTGAGTGAGTGAGTGAGTGAGTGAGTGAGTGAGTGAGTGAGTGAGTGAGTGAGTGAGTGAGTGAGGTGAGTGAGTGAGGAGTGAGTGAGTGAGTGAGTGAGTGAGTGAGTGAGTGAGTGAGTGAGTGAGTGAGTGAGTGAGTGAGTGAGTGAGTGAGTGAGTGAGTGAGTGAGTGAGTGAGTGAGTGAGTGAGTGAGTGAGTGAGTGAGTGAGTGAGTGAGTGAGTGAGTGAGTGAGTGAGTGAGTGAGTGAGTGAGTGAGTGAGTGAGTGAGTGAGTGAGTGAGTGGTTTTACGTCGCTTTTTAGCAATATTCCAGCAATATCACGGCGGGGGACACCAGAAAATGGGCTTCACACATTGAAGTAATCTAGAATCAGAGCTAGAGACATAAAGACTAGGTGAGTGAGTGAGTGAGTTTAGTTTATGTCATTTTTAGCAATATCCCAGTAATATCACAGCGGGGAACACCAGAAATGGACTTCACACATTATAACCATGTGGGGAAATGAACCTGGGTCGTCAGCATGACAAGCCCACGCTTTAACCACTAGGCTACCTTCCCGCCCTGCATGGGTAAGCTGGTGATAAACCATGACATATCATGACATATCAGGGTTTGCAGGGATGGGGTGGGGTGTTTTTCTGTTCAACGCTGCACTCAGCTATCTTCTAGCTATATGGCGGCTGTAAATAATCGAGTCTGGACCAGACAATCCAGTGATCAACTGCATGAGCATCAATCTACGCAACTGAATGTTATATGCAGACGTGTGTCAACCAAGTAGGTTGTCCTGACCACCCGATCACGTTAGCTGCCTCTTAAGACAAGCATGGGTTGCTAAAGACCAATTCTAATCCGGATCTTCATGGGTTGGTAAATATGGGATTTAATCCTATGATCACATGTTTCTAGTACATCCAAGGTAACCCACCAGAGAAAATTGTTGTTTTTCAGATGACTTGGCCGCATTTGTCATCCTGACAATAACTGAGTATCAGAAACTCACAGAAAACATTTACAACAGACCAACAGGCAATCTTAAAACTGAGTCAAAATGTTCCTTTTTTCAAAATCTGAATAGTGCTTCAAAGAAAACACTCAGGTAATATGACTCAACTCCAAGACATGTAGCAAGTACTCACTCTGTCGGTCTGGGCGAACATGGTCGGCTATAGATCTCACTTGTGGCTCTGAAATGAATTAGAAACAAGACTATTAAATAGCTCTGACTTCTTCTTTACTCAACAAGACCACAAAACACCCATGAAATTCAGAATTTGGAGTGCGCACGTGTGACAACACCAACTTTGGTACAATGTTATCAAACTACAGAACACTAGAGCTGGTGTGCATTTGGATATAAGCTAAAAAACAAACAACTTATTGATCATTTGATATTGTAAATAAAGCCAATGTCAAACATGCAGCCCACCCAGTTAACATCAAACCTTGAAAATGTCATACACATCGTCATACTCCATGTCATCACTCATCGAAAACCCATATTAAGCATGCAGTCTGTCAAACAACAGTTAACACTGTGCCCTGAAAATGTCATACACATCGTCATACTCCATGTCATCACTCACCAAAGCCCATGTCAAACATGCGGTCTGCCTCGTCATACACCAGGTATGTTACTCGTCGCAGGTTGGTAGCCTTTTTCTTCACAAGGTCGATCAACCTGCCCTATAACATGAGGAGAGTAACAGTCAAAATTGATCATGGTGTTTTGTTTCCACTGCTATGATGCTGACCAAAGGAACTTATTCTGTAGTGCATTATATAGTATGACCAGAAATTATTGAGAATTTTAGGAATATGTTTAATTGGATTTCTAGTATAAACAACCTTGACCAGCAATCAAGTGCTTGGTTTCATTCAAGAGAGACAACTCCGTTAATCCTTTTTCATTAGTTTGTTTATTGCTAGCAGACGACATTTTCAATGATCCTCAGTATGGATGATTTAGAGAAGAGGAAGTTGATTTTAGAGTATTATAACAAGGACATCAGATCAGCTAAAGTGATTTCAAGTAGAACAGACATCCCTTTGTCCACTGTTTATCGTGTTTTGAAAAATATTGCAAATGGATATGTCATTGAGCACCAGGGAGGCGCAGGTAGGCCTACAAAATTGACTGTCCGTGACAAGAGGCGGCTTGGTATTCTTGTTTCTAAAAACAAACGAAGGAGTTTAGAAAATTTAAGGCTGGATATGATTGATAGAGGAACTGTGGCTGTCTGTAAGGAGACAATTAGAACTGAGCTGCATGCAATGCACAGATATTCTCGAGGGACATTTACTTCCATCTGCTCACGTGTTCTATGAAAATTTTTGGATTTTCCAGCAGGACAACGACCCAAAACATCGTTCAAAGCATTCACAGGCCTAGTTTCGGACCCAAAATATGACATAATTAGATTGGCCAAGCTATAGCCCTGACCTAAATCCAATAGAAAGTGTTTGGGGACTTATGAAGGAAAGTGTCAATAAGAAAAATCTGACAAATATTGCTGAAATGAAAGAAGAGGTGGTCCGATATTGGGACAGCATGGACCACGACTTTCTAACTTCTTTGATCAGTAGTATGCCCCGCCGCATTGAAGCATGCATTGCTGCCCTAGCTTAAACCTCAAATTCCCACAAATGCCATCACATTAGTCATAACTCCCCCTTATCATGGTGCATCCCACAATTACACCAGAGCTCCTTCAATCAGTAACAAATATTCTAGAATCTGAGATGGTAATGAGGCACTAACGGGCGTGGCCACCATGATCTCGCAGCCCTCCTGACAAGCCTTGGTCTGCTCCCACATGCTGCCTCCACCGTAGGCACACACCACGCGGATGTTGTACACTTTCCCAAACTTCTTAGCCTCTTGATATATCTGGGGGAAGAAAACACCAGTACTGAGGAACTCCAGCTCTAAGACTTTCATACACAGACTTGAGACAATCACAGTGCTAGGATAATTTAAACTCCAGGGTCCACTTGCACAAAACGATCTTAGCCCTAAGGTGATCGTAACTCCCATATTTAACATATAGGCCTACGACTATCACAGCGATAAGATCGCTTTGTGCAATTGGATCCTGCGCTTTAACCTGGACATACGAAAATCATAAAGCTGTGACTATCATAACCTTGATACTTTAACACAAACTTAAGATAGTCACCGTGTTACAATCACTTTCTGATACTGTAAATGAGCCATGTCTTACACTTACGCTATAACATGGCTGAAACTCTCATACTTTAACATAGACTTGCAAACATTGTAGCACTAAGATCACACTGTGGAACCAGCCCCTTCGTATGTACAGTTCAAATTCTGACTAACAACTAGGTGAGGTGAGGTGAAATTGGGTTTAACGTCGTGCTTGAGAATATTTCGCTCATATGACGACGTGCATGCGTGTGTATGTGTATGTGTGGCTGCTTGTACTAGCCCAGACTGAAGCTGGTTTTTCTGCTCTCGACTAATAATTAACTTTGTGTGTTACGTCCAATTGTTATGACATTGATCCATCTATCACTTGATGATTACTGTAATTACTTGATAAAAGCGTTTCACACAAGGCACTGACTGCAATGTCAACACCTAATGTGAACATTTGCCACTCACTCAATTAGAATTTAATAAAAACAAATTATCATATCAGGAACAGCTTATGGAAGTGTTAAACCAATCTGAAAGGCTAGTGGTTAAAGCATGTTTGTAAAATCAGAATTGATTATTGTTTTTTAGCAGGATCTGTAGTCATCTTTTCTCAGTTGTCAATTTAGATTAATAACATACAACAGGTATGACAACAGGTATGACAACAGGTATGATAATTAGCATAATCAGGAATTCAGCATGATCATATCACCTGTTGTGACAATTCTCTTGTTGGCGCCAGGATCAATCCGATTGGTCCATCGCCAGGCTCTAACTCTTTCTGCAGAAAAAAACAACATGTCTGAATACAGGGGAAGATATTTGCCACAGGGCACTCAAAAAGATACTTAGGAGAGCCATTGGGAACGTAAGTATGACAAAACAAGAACATTATCTTAGTTAAGCAGAGATGCCAACCCTATTTTGGGCCTAAGTGTAATACTAGAGGTCAGAAAGTGTAATTTGGACCTAAAAAGTGTAATATCTTCCTGATCGCTTCAACATGGTATAATGGTTTTCACTGAAAAGGAAGATTCTAGACAGAAACACATGTGACCAATCACAATGAAGCTCCATACATCGAAAATTGTTGGTCATGTGACTCAAAATACTTTAATTCCTTGCAAGTTAATTGGAATGAGGGCGATGCTAAGAGTAACTTCTGTCAGTGCAAGGCCATTTCTGCACCCCTGCACCTGTGCATTACCAAACACTTCCCTGTGAAAATCTATCCACTTTATTGATTTTTTCAGAAAATAGATAAGCCGTAATTTTCGCAGATTAAGTGGAATGGCGTATTTAATGGTCAAAATGTAATACCACTAAAGCGTAAGGTTGGCATCTCTGGTTAAGGATATTCACTATAGCTAGATACAAAGGTTTGACACATCTTCTTGCAGGGAGGCCTCATTTATGTGCAAAATTTGATTTCAATGACACTGTTTATACTTTACATATCGGTCATATTTTGAATAGAAACATGAAGATTATTCTTAAAGCACTTGATCCAATATTAATCATGATTTACCTGTCTCCAGAGCAATATTAATCATGATTATCGACAAGAATTACTGTTGGTGTACCCCATCACTGTGTGCCTTTGTGTGTGTCAGCCACTCACCTGGTCCATGATGTGGATGAGCAGAGGCCACACGAACGCTGCAGTTTTTCCACTTCCTGTCTTGGCAATACCGATGATGTCCCTTCCACTCATCGCTATGGGAACACCCTGGTGGCAATACATCGAATGATACATTGAACTATCCAAGCACTGCAACTCACACTAGTGTCCCTGTTAGCTGAATTATTATAGGATATTTATAGAGTGCACATATCCGTGCAAATAGTACATGCTCAAGGCGCTGCTTTTTTTCTCTCGATCATTGGATGTCAATCTCAACGGCACATCGTATTACCAATCTCAACTCCCTGGGAGCATACAAATCTTGCAGCCACTAGGTGCACCAAGTTATTGCAGCTTCCCATCCATATGAGGTACCCATTTACAGATGGGTGGACATGGCTGATGGCAACACTTGTACACCCTTTGTTGCTAATTAAAACCACGTTCTTCACAAAGACTTCCTAATACTTTGGTAACTTCAAAAATAGAAGAGTGGAAGGTGGGTCTTTTTACTCATAAACATGTCATGCAAAACACCTTAGCAGCAAGTATTTTTTGTTACCTTAACTTGGCATTCAGGAGACTAACAGGACTGGCTGGCTTGGACAGTACAACCACAGACAGACTGAGTTGGGAACACTCTGTGGGCGTACATTCTTACCTGGGACTTGGACAGTACAACCACAGACAGACTGGGTTGGGAACACTCTGGGCTGGTACATTCTTACCTGGCCTGGCTGGCTTGGACAGTACAACCACAGACAGACTGAGTTGGGAACACTCTGTGGGCGTACATTCTTACCTGGGCCTGGATGGCTTGGACAGTACAACCACAGACAGACTGGGTTGGGAACACTCTGTGGGCGTACATTCTTACCTGGGCCTGGATGGCTTGGACAGTACAACCACAGACAGACTGGGTTGGGAACACTCTGTGGGCGTACATTCTTACCTGGGCCTCGATGGCTTGGACAGTACAACCACAGACAGACTGGGTTGGGAACACTCTGTGGGCATACATTCTTACCTGGGCCTGGATGGCTTGGACAGTACAACCACAGACAGACTGAGTTGGGAACACTCTGTGGGCGTACATTCTTACCTGGGCCTGGATGGGCATTGGTTGTGTATACTCCGCCTTCCGTACTGTGTGCAACAACTGCTCATCAAAGCCGAGGTGAGCGAAACTGGTGACAGGTCGTGGGGGATCAACACCAGATACCTGCATACAGTGTAACAGGTGAGGTAATTACAAAAGGAAAATGAATCTGAATTTAGATATCTGGGCCTCCTTTCACAAAGCACTAAGCAGGGCTCGATTTAAAGGATGTTAACCTACTTGCACCAGGTGCAACCTAAGATAAAAAACTAGTTGCACCAGACAAATTCCAGTTGCACTGCTTTTATTGCAATATGTAATGAAAGAAATATGCTATTGAATTATTTAGATGGTTTATTCAGAAGTTTACCCACTCAAAAGACTAATACCTAGGTTGCACTTTGTAATATTGGGTTGCACCGGTGCAAGTAACAAAGCACTAAATCGAGCCCTGCTAAGGTGATCGTAAGTCACTTAGGTAACCTTAGTGCAATGTTAAGGAATGGGAGTTAAGGTTAACCTTAGTAAAGGTTGCTTTGTGAAAGGAGCCCCTGGATCATAAAGTGACTGACTGACTGACTGAGTTTGGTTTTACGCCGCTTTTAGCAATATTCCAGCTCCATCACGGCGGGGGACACCAGAAATGAGCTTCACACATTGTACCCATGTGGGGATTCGAACCCGGGTCTTCGGCGTGACGAGCCAACGCTTTAACCATTAGGCTACCCCACCGCCCCGATCATAAAGTGAAATAACAAATATGACTTTTACTTTCTCGTTGCATCAATGTTAACACGGTCATGAATCTTGACTATCTTGTGAAATAATGCATTTAACACATATCTTGACCCAACACTTGCATGAGATTAACCGATGTTCCCATAACAACAGTCCATATATTATTGTAAATGCAAGATTTCTTACATTTATTTCAGTGTACAAATTCTTTCAAATGAAATTGTTTACTAAGTTGTGACAATTGGTTTTAAGTATTTTATCCATGGTGGTCCAATAATTAAAACACTTCAATAATATCTAAAGTTCATTTCCATTTAAATCCTTATCAATCAAAAGTGTAAGCAATGTTTACATGTGGCCCAGTAAATTTCCATTACCCTGTGGCCTTAACCTTCATGTGTGATGTCAAAGGTCACAGGTCACATCATGACCTCTCCAAAGCTCATGCATTTTGGAGCACATGCTTGCCAGTGTGTATTGGACCTCCATGCTGCCTGGTTGTCACCCAGCTGACTGTAAGCTGAACTATGTAAAGACACATATGTGAGTACTTTACCCTTTCATTGCTAGGTTGTACTATTTCTAAATTACAATGAAATTGTATATATGCCAAAATGTTAATTGGTTGTGTAAAATTTGTTAATATATTTCACACAATTATTTGTAAATTTGTAGTTGTTACTTTTGCAATTTCAATGTATTCACATATCATTCGAAAGTAATATTGAATGTTATGTACTATGAAACTTGTACATTTTCTGAATTTTATCGAAAGCTATTGTTTGTTGTAGTTTTCTGAACCTCATCAACAATTCTACTCCTCAACTCAACGCAACTAATATTCATCAAGTCCTCAGCCGCAGCCATGTATTATGAACTGTAATTCCTTAAATATCAAAACAATAAACCCTGTTGATGCGAGTATCAGTTTTTGTGTTCTGCATTAACAATTATATTGCCTACAAAGAAGACAATGTGACTCAAAAACCCATCAGTAGATCCTGGCAACTACTAAGGGTCATAATGCTGCAACACAACTTGTTTCATCAAAGAGGGTCTGAAATTTAAAAACCCTTCTGTAGATCCTGTCAGGACACAAGTCATCTAACAATTTGATGGAGTTGAAACCACTGTGCCACCAGCTAAATCCGAACAAACAAATGATTAAATGAACCCCACGTAATCTGACCTTGATTCCAAGTTTGAAGCGAAGGTCGTCTAGTTCCTGCTTTGTCAGACTCTTGATATCATCATGTGGCACGTAGAAATTCTTGATGAAACTGTTGTACTCTATCTCCGAGTGGTCTATTGGTGGCAGGGGGTCGATCATCTGTGTTTGAGATAATGTTATTGATAATGTTGTTACAATCCTAGACAGTTAACAACATCAACAAATCGCAGAGAGCAGCACTTTGTTGGGAGGTTGAACAGCACATGATTCCATATTTGTACATTCCATAATTGTATATTCTGTTTTATTATGCAAGCATATTTTTCCGGCTACCTGATTGGTCTAGAGGCGGTCACGTGACCATTGACAGAAAAGCATATTGACTCCAACCCAGGTCCGACCAAAAGTCATATTGACTTGAGTTACCATGACGTCAAGCTATGACGTCATTCTATTGTTTACATGTCACAGTATTGTTGACATAACGTTATTGGTTTTGTAGTGAAAATAAAATTACTTTTCTTGACTAAATGGACATGTTTTGGAATTTAGAAGCTCTTTTTTCGGTAATTACATAATAAAACAATTATAGACTGGCGAATTCAGTCAATACCTGTTTTTATGGACCCACGAAAAGCAATTTTGACCGAGGACGAAACCGAAGTCCGAGGTCAATATTGCTTTTCGCAGGTCCATAAAAACAGTTATTGACCAAATTCGCCAGTCTATAATTGTATAGTAGCATTCATGTGACCTCTGGCCCTTGTGATAAATAAGACTGTCTACCCATCTTGTGTCAAATAACATGAGGATGAGTGCCAGTGAGTTTTACGCCGCTTTTAGCAATATTCCAGCAATATATCGAGGCACACCAGAAATGGGCATCACACATTGTACCATGTTGGAAATCAAACCCTGGTATTCAGCGTGATGAGCGTATACTTTAAACACTAGGACAATCACAACCCCAAACATGAGGATGATATCTGTTTTTCTCAAAAATCAATTTGAGAACCAAATCTTTGGTTTCATCCATTGCAGATGTTTATCCAGATCTGCTCACAAGCCAATATTCACCTCTGAAGCTATAGCAAATTTCACTAGAATTTCCAAATTGGAATAAAAACATCCAGATTATATGAATAAAATAGTGACTTTTCACAATTTGCCCCCTGAGGGTGTTTTGTTTGTAAGCTTTGTAAAATCCCTGTACACATAAGTTTGTTTTGTTTTTGTTTTTTTGTAATTTAAATATTATTTCTGAATCCCTTTACAGTCAAAACCAAGCAGCCAGGGACAGCTCAGTCTGAAGATGTACAGTAATGTAATGGGATACAGGTGGAAATTGTTACGAAACAAGACAATCCATTCACTCACCATTCACACAAGTACAAGATTATTTTTAATTATTAAACATATTAATACCATAATTAATTCAATCGTCTTTGAATAAGCCATGATATAAGAGCCATTTCAAATAAAACTCGTCGTTACAGCTTTTGTTAAAGAAAATACATTTTTCAATACAATATCTCAGTCTCAACACACTTCTGAACTGAGCAATATTTGGTAAAACAGAATTGAGCTTGCATTTGTACAAGTAATATTTTCCCAATAATATGAACAAGTCAAAAAACAGAGTCAGTAAAAACATTTTTCTTACAACCAAAAATTATCAGTTCCATAGTGAGATTGAGATCATGGATGTGGTCACAACCTTCTGTTAAATAAGGTAAAAATTTTGACCAAAAGGTTTGCACAAATTCACATTCCAATAACAAGTGACAAATAGACTCTGTTTCTTCATTACAGAATGAACATAAGTTAGAATCTCTTATTTTAACTCTTTTAAGAAATGTGTTGGCTAGCATCCTTACACATACTGGTGGTACCTAAAATATGGCTGACTACTTAGATTGTTTCACATCAGAACAAAATGTTGTTTCTACAATCATGGTTAATTTTAGTTTTCCTCCACTGTCACTTACCTTATTTCGCTCTGGGAGGATGACGTTACCATCTTCATCATACTCAATGCCATCGTCTTCATCAACTACGACACCTGCCATGGGGTTTTCCTCCATGTAGCGGAAGTAAGATTCCATCTCATCCTCCTGGTCAATGTCGTCCCGCACACCCCTAACAAACAGGACCACACACATTCAACATACACCATGTCTAGGATCTACCTAGGACTGAAAGGAGCTGCTCACTGGGTTTCTCATTTATAGATATTTGTCTGGTTCCGCACTGGGCCTAAGAAGGACCTATACAGGATGGCTCCACACTGGGTAAAGAAGACCTATACAGTTTGGCTCCACACTTGGTATAAGGAGGACATATACAGTGTGTCTCCACACTTGGTATCAGGAGGACATATACAGTTTGGCTCCACACTGGGTATAAGGAGGACATATACAGTGTGTCTCCACACTTGGTATCAGGAGGACATATACAGTTTGGCTCCACACTGGGTATAAGGAGGACATATACAGTGTGGCTCCACACTGGGTTTAAGGAGGACATATACAGTGTGGCTCCACACTGGGTATAAGGAGGACATATACAGTGTGGCTCCACACTGATAATAAGGAGGACATATACAATGTGGCTCCACACTTGGTATCAGGAGGACATATACAGTTTGGCTCCACACTGGGTATAAGGAGGACATATACAGTGTGGCTCTACACTGGGTTTAAGGAGGACATATACAGTGTGGCTCCACACTGATAATAAGGAGGACATATACAATGTGGCTCCACACTTGGTATCAGGAGGACATATACAGTTTGACTCCACACTGGGTATAAGGAGGACATATACAGTGTGGCTCCACACTGGGTATAAGGAGGACATATACAGTGTGGCTCCACACTGATAATAAGGAGGACATATACAATGTGGCTCCACACTTGGTATCAGGAGGACATATACAGTTTGGCTCCACACTGGGTATAAGGAGGACATATACAGTGTGGCTCTACACTGGGTTTAAGGAGGACATATACAGTGTGGCTCCACACTGATAATAAGGAGGACATATACAATGTGGCTCCACACTTGGTATCAGGAGGACATATACAGTTTGGCTCCACGCTGGGTATAAGGCATTCTCTTCCCACAGAGAGTTACTTGTCATATCTTCCTACGAACCTCTGTTCTAATACGGCCCTTTCATGGTGCGAGTGTTCAGGATTCGTGATTGGTTGCAATCAGATTTAGTTGTGCAATCAGCGACGTTGTTTCAAAAGTGATCATTCGCAAGGCCTCGGTTATTTCCGTATGCTTCGGGAAAACTAGAACCTCTTTCCCTGCGCGATGCGCAAACGTTTCTTATAGACAGAACTCAGTCATGTAAATGGCGGATCAATGGCATCTTCATCTCCCTCGTTGACAACAGACAAGCTAGCCATTAAATGTCTTGTGTGTCACATCAACACAAGTTCCTGGCAGAGGAGGGATAATTTTGACCCAACATTTGCTTGTATTAGTCAAGTTGATGTAACACGCGTTCTGATTGGACAGAAAGAAGGGAGATAATTCGTGTTGCGATTTTTTAACGCTAGGGGATTTTACGAGAACTGGGAAATACGACCGTATTAGAACAGAGGTTCGTAGGAAGAAATGACAAGTAACCTCTGTGGGAAGAGAATGGGTATAAGGAGGACATATACAGTGTGGCTCCACACTGGGTATAAGGAGGACATATACAATCGGGCTCCACACTGGGTATAAGGAGGGCCTAGACAGGATGGCTCCACACTGGGTATAAGGAGGGCCTAGACAGGATGGCTCCACACTGGGTATAAGGAGGACCTAGACAGGATGGCACCACACTGGGTATAAGGAGGACCTAGACAGGATGGTTCCACACTTGGTATAAGGAGGACATATACAGTGTGGCTCTACACTGGGTATAAGGAGGACATATACCACACTGGGTATAAGGAGGACCACACTGTGTATAAGGAGTATAAGGAGGACATATATAGTGTGGCTCCACACTGGGTATAAGGAGGACCTATACAGGATGGCTCCACACTGGAGTACCTATACAGGATGGCTCCACACTGGGTATAAGGAGGACCTAGACAGGATGGCTCCACACTGGGTATAAGGAGGACCTAGACAGGTTGGCTCCACACTGGGTATAAGGAGGACAGGATGGCTCCACACTGGGTATAAGGAGGGTCTATACAGGATGGCTCCACACTGGGTATAAGGAGGACCTAGACAGGATGGCTCCACACTGGGTATAAGGAGGGTCTATACAGGATGGCTCCACACTGGGTATAAGGAGGACCTAGACAGGATGGACCTAAGGAGGGTATACAGGATGGCTCCACACTGGGTATAAGGAGAGGAGGATGGCTCCACACTGGGTATAAGGAGGACCAGGATGGCTCCACACTGGGTATAAGGAGGACCTAGACAGGATGGCTCCACACTGGGTATAAGGAGGACCTAGACAGGATGGCTCCACACTGGGTATAAGGAGGACCTAGACAGGATGGCTCCACACTGGGTATAAGGAGGACCTAGACAGGATGGCTCCACACTGCATATGGAGGACCTATAAGGATGGCTCCACCTATACAGGATGGCTCCACACAGGATGGCTCCACACTGGAGGACCTAGACAGGATGGCTCCAAACTTGGTATAATGAGAGGGACCTCCACACAGGTATGGACTCCACACTGGGTATAAGGAGGACCTAGACAGGATGGCTCCACACTGGGTATAATGAGGACCTAGACAGGATGGCTCCACACTGGGTATAAGGAGGACCTAGACAGGATGGCTCCACACTGGGTATAAGGAGGACCTAGACAGGATGGCTCCACACTGGGTATAAGGAGGACCTAGACAGGATGGCTCCACACTGGGTATAAGGAGGACATATACAGGACCTATACAGCTCCACACTGGGTATAAGGAGGACATATACAGCTCCACACTGGTATAAGCTCCACAGCATGGCTCCATTATGAGGACCTATACAGCATGGCTCCACACTGGGTCAGGACATATATAGTGTGGCTCCACACTGGGTATAAGGAGGACATATACAGTGTGGCTCCACACTGGGTATAAGGAGGACATATACAGTGTGGCTCCATACTGGGTAAAGAGGACATATACAGTGTGGCTCCCAGCTGGGTATAAGAAGGACCTATACAGCATGGCTCCACACTGGGTATAAGGAGGACATATACAGTGTGGCTCCATACTGGGTATAAGGAGGACCTAGACAGGATGGCTCCAAACTTGGTAAAATGAGGACCTAGACAGGATGGCTCCACACTGGGTATAAGGAGGACCTAAACAGGATGGCTCCAAACTGGGTATAAGGAGGACATATACAGGATGGCTCCAAACTTGGTATAATGAGGACCTAGACAGGATGGCTCCACACTGGGTATAAGGAGGACCTAGACAGGATGACTCCACACTGGGTATAAGGAGGACCTAAACAGGATGGCTCCACGCTGGGTATAAGGAGGACATATACAGGATGGCTCCAAACTTGGTATAATGAGGACCTAGACAGGATGGCTCCACACTGGGTATAAGGAGGACCTAGACAGGATGACTCCACACTGGGTATAAGGAGGACCTAAACAGGATGGCTCCACGCTGGGTATAAGGAGGACCTAGACAGGATGGCTCCACACTGGGTATAAGGAGGACCTAGACAGGATGGCTCCACACTGGGTATAAGGAGGGTCTATACAGCATGGCTCCACACTGGGTATAAGGAGGACATATACAGTGTGGCTCCACACTGGGTATAAGGAGGACATATACAGCATAGCTCCACACTGGGTATTATGAGGACCTATACAGCATGGCTCCACACTGGGTCAGGACATATATAGTGTGGCTCCACACTGGGTATAAGGAGGACATATACAGTGTGGCTCCACACTGGGTATAAGGAGGACATATACAGTGTGGCTCCATACTGGGTAAAGAGGACATATACAGTGTGGCTCCCAGCTGGGTATAAGAAGGACCTATACAGCATGGCTCCACACTGGGTATAAGGACATATACAGTGTGGCTCCACACTGGGTATAAGGAGGACGTATACAGCAAGGCTCCACACTGGGTATAAGGAGGACATATGCAGCATGGCTCCACACTGGGTATAAGGAGGACATATACAGCAAGGCTCCACACTGGGCATAAGGAGGACCTATACAGCATGGCTCCGCACTCGGTAAGTATGACCTATACAGCATGGCTCTGCACTGGGTAAGTAGGACCTATACAGCATGGCTCCACACTGAGTATAAGGAAGACCTATACAGCATGGCTCCACACTGGGTAAGTAGGACCTATACAGCATGGCTCTGCACTGGGTAAGTAAGACCTATACAGCATGGCTCCACACTGAGTATAAGGAAGACCTATACAGCATGGCTCCACACTGGGTAAGTAGGACCTATACAGCATGGCTCAAAACTGAGTATAAGGAAGACCTATACAGCATGGCTCCACACTCGGTAAGAAGGACCTATACAGCATGGCTCCACACTGAGTATAAGGAAGACCTATACAGCATGGCTCCACACTGGGTAAGTAGGACCTATACAGCATGGCTCAAAACTGAGTATAAGGAGGACCTATACAGCATGGCTCCACGCTGGGTAAGGTATAAGGAGACCCACACATGGCTCCCACTGAGGCATGAGAATCCAAAGAACCTATACAAGACCTTACAGCATGGCTCCACACTGCCAAGTAGGAAGTGAATTAGACCTATACAGCATGGTCCAACACTGGGTCAGCAATATTCCAAAACTGAGTATAAGGAAGACCTATACAGCATGGCTCCACACTGGGTAAGTAGGACCTATACAGCATGGCTCCAAACTGAGTATAAGGAAGACCTATACAGCATGGCTCCACACTGGGGACCTATAAGTAGGCTCCACACTGACCCTATACAGCATGGCTTAAAACTGAGTATAAGGAAGACCTATACAGCATGGCTCCACACTCGGTAAGTAGGACCTATACAGCATGGCTCCACACTGAGTATAAGGAAGACCTATACAGCATGGCTCCACACTGGGTAAGTAGGACCTATACAGCATGGCTCAAAACTGAGTATAAGGAAGACCTATA